ATTAGTCAGACCGGTGACCAAATTATCTGAGCAGTTTATAAGGAAAGGTAGTCTTTGAAACAGTCGAGAGATAATAACAATAGTTACATTAAACCAGGCAGGATCTAGGCACAAAATGACACCATAGACCTGTAAGTTAAACTCATGTCTACTACAAGTGCCTAGAAAGGATAACAGGTGAGCAGATCTATAGTTTTCTGTCAACCCACAGACTCCAGGGATCCTAATAATTCAAATTGGTGGCGTTTCTAGATGATGTCACACAGAAGCTTTGCTGCTTGTAATTCGGCTAGTCTTTTGATTCTGCTAGTCACAGACTGGCTAATTTCAAACATTGGATGCTACAAATCGTGGGTAGGAAAATGCAGTAGATTGAGGAATTTATCCTTCGTTGCTGTGGTGACAGTCAAAAATTATATAATCAAGCGTGAGAGGCTAAAGAGCCACGTTCCTAGGGATAAGTACCAGGTCTGTTGTGGTTCTTAATCTTTCATACAATGCAGCTCTGAATTTCGCTGATGAAGTAAAATTAGCCGGGGAAGGGTTGGAGCAAGTCTTGAAGGTAATCCATAGATATTTAGGGAGATAGAATCTACCACTAACTCTAAAAAATCTCAACTATTGTGCAAAAAAGCTTGCAATAATTTGAGCATATCTTTGGCAAGAGCCGCAGCTTTCTCTGTGTGCAACCTGAACTGAATTAAAACTAATAATCATTTTCATATTTGTTTACATTGATCATTGTTCCTCCAATATATGTCGGATAGAAACTATGATATAAAATTTATCATAACTGGCTGAATAANTAACCTCACATATAAGCTGTATATCACATTCCTTGAAGAACTCTAAGGATTTGCTGTTGTTTTCATCTACAGCACCTACCGGCAGAGCATTCCATAAGCTGGTTGGCTTCAACTCAATCTGGTCTGTTTCAAAAGACTCAATTACTAGCAAGATCCACAAAACACATTTCTAAATGTAATGCTATCGATAACAGAACACTTATAAGCTCTATCATAGACAGACACCTACAATCATGTGAAGAGTTTATTTCTCAAAAACTCCAATTATCATCCTCCATTAAAAACCAAACAATAAAAAGCGATATACAAATTATTTACACCCTCAAGGTTCAAACGTTTGGTTGCACGTACCTCTTTGTACCGTCATTTTGTTTTTCCACATTTCTCACGTCGAACTGTAGATTAAAGATTGGTCAACTCATTTGGGTTGCCCATGGCAGTAATCTGTGCAGCTTTTGGGCATCCGATATTATGGGAAACTTTAAAGATGGGTGACCAACCTGTTAATACAATTGCAAAACGTATGCGATTTTGTGGCATGTTTAGGTGTCTAACCACCTCGTGTAAGCACTCCAATCGTTTTGCAGAATAAACCAATTTGTTTTATGACTAAGTCATCCTCCGGATTTTGAGATCATCAGTCGATAAAATATACCGGGAATTAAAAAGTTAAGAAATGGTTGATGAGACATCGGAATAATGATAGTCCCAGTTCTGACCACTCAAGAAGTTTGCCAGAGAAAGACATCCATGAGTTTTGACAATAATACTCTGTCTTTTAGAAAGTACTTGATTAAAGAGAACAACGTGTATTTAGTGCTCAGAGTTCTCAGTGTTTCCAGAAGTTTAGCATGTATTACGTTGCCAAATGTCTTGTAAAGATACAACGAATATGGAATAAACAACGCCTATGGATTTTGATCACCGCTCACATATAAAAAGAATATAGAAAAGACATTATCAAAAACCCATGTCATCGAGGAGAAAAAAGTATGGTTACCACAAGGTGAAAGAAATTGTACAGAGCTGTCAGTTTCTTAAGAACCTTATGTTCTATGAAAATCAAGCTAGCCGGGCGGCAGTTGAATGGAACCTGTTTACCAACACCTTTATCCTGCGGAGCAACTGACAAGTTCTTTAAGTTTTCCTCTTCTATGGCTGCATGGATTGATGCAGCTGGGCGGAACCGAGAAAATATCATCTGGTTTCTGGAATATCAAAGGGTGGATTCCATTTCGATTGGGGAATCTATATGGGCAAAGAGCAGTCGTCACTATTTTGACCTTCTTGACTTAATAATGGAACAGTTGTTTGATATATTCTAGACATTTTGGGGACTAGCATACTGTTACAGAGAGATAGGTCCGAGTTCGCCGTATTAATTTCTGTGTACACCAAAGCATGTTGGCCGATTATCAGATCTCGGGGATAAAGAATTTGACTCAGTGTTCCCCCAAAAACTAAGTGACGCATTTGTATGTGTCATTACTATTTTGATCGTATGATAGTGCAAACACAAGCCGCTCTTTCAGTTATCACTTTAAAGCCAGGATAAGACTCTTGGCTTGAATTCGACCAGGGAGAATACGGGCCAACCGTTGCATTAACCGCTTTTAAGGCGGTCTGGAATAATGCTCCATTACACGTCCAAACATCGGAATCATTTGGCTATCAGCTAAACGTCTGCTTTACTGATGTTATCTCGTCGAACCAAAAGCGACATGTATTACGTTCATATGGTGGTTACTAGAAATTTTATTTATTGCGTCTCCAGCGAATATGTAACATCACATGATTACTAGCACTCAAATGTGCAAGCAAATCAATGAGAGCTATACTCGAAATACAAAGAATCAACACTTTATCCAAAGTTGACTGCCGATATCTAAGACTACGTATAAGGTCTTAAAAATCTCGATATAAAGCAAGATCACAAACGGTTGAATGGAGGTAGCGCAGAAAATTATCAGCGGCCTCAGTAAATTGGCTTGACAGCCAGTAGATTTGAGATGCAGTTTAGCTACCACGTGTCATACATTTGTTGTCCGTGGTTTAGAGCTTAATGGAATCCAATTTAAGGAGTGGCTCTGACGAAGGATTTTTGTAGGTTATAACTAACGCAAAATTTTCATTCAGCCAAAGCTTCATTTGGCACCGCAAACAGTCGGCAAATCTGTTTNGACTATTGAAGATCGGTATACTCAAAACTAGATGTGTCGTAAAATAGAACACTTGTATTCATCAGAGTCCATCTAAAACCCAGTTTCTATGAATGTAAAAGCTTCCAGTTCATCTCTAGTGTTCTACAGTATTATAATTTAGCAAAAAACGGTGTTTGAACAGCTATCCTTCGATCAGATTTTATGACCGGTTGGAGAAGAGCGCCGCATCTAGCTGCACCCGAAAAAGAAGGCCAAGTAAATTGAAGNGGACGCGAAAAATCTATATAGATCGGTTGCTCATTTCTTTACTCAGCATTTTGTGAAACTGGACGAATGTAGTCTTCAAACTCTCTTGCTCTCTTGACATTCAATCATGTAACAGTCATAATGGATCGCTATTTGAATGATATTATTTTTTAAAAGTAATTAATTTTTACGAAAAATAACCCTGCATTGTAATCACTGGCCTCGCTATAGAACAGAAAAAAACTATAAGCTAAGGGACTTTCTCCAATTGCAAACTGAACACTAGATATGTAAGACTTATTCTCATAATATGTGCCCTTGTACGAGTGGGTTGTTTGTGAAACTAGCCATTCTATCATTGAACAAATTGGACATTTTGGTATTGTACTGGGATAGTTGACAGTATCTCATTTTAGCTTGTCCCTTCAGAGTGAATTATAGGATTCTTTCGCTTTTGCAAAGTTAACGGGAGGCAACGATGCAGCTAGCAATAGCATAGTTCGTATGCAAACAATAAACGATTTCGACTCGGGCTTAAATATTGTGACGATTTTTATTTCGGTAGATTATCAAATGTTTTCTGGAATGTGATAACTGACAACAGCAAGACAAAGAGGTAAAATATACTGACTGATGATATCAATGGCAAACATGAATGCTTGGATTCTGGAGTGGTTAATTTATACATTGCATCTCCCAATTGAGCAGATGACCGCATGCATTATTCTACGTATTCATTTGATACATTCCTTCATGACGCGCAAGCTGCCGGTAGCCCAGTTTAAGCTTCAAAGAATGACGTTTTACTTTCCATCTACAGTGAACCATCCTCAATACGAGAATTCAGTGCACAGGACTTCCAAACCAGGGATTGTAAACACCTGTCATTAAGCAGTATTAGGAAAGAATCATGGACAGGTAAAAAAAAGTTTACCGATGCGTTCGCTCGTAACCCCATTTCAGTACTAGCGGACACCACACCAAAGACAATTAGAGTTTGGACTTTTACTGATACTCTATCTTATTATTGTTTCTGTAGGTATAACTCGAGTGAAAAAATCAATAACTTTTTTCTAGTCCGACATCTTAAGGCTGTAAGAGACAGATTAATGAATTCTAGTTAGACACTACGCAACTTGGAAAATATTAGGCACATATATCTAACCTTAAAAGGCTACTGTGCCGCGTAAGACGGATAGGCTTGCTGTCGTCCGGGTCACTACGATACCTAACTTAGCGGGTCATACCTGATTCCGGAATTCAATTCCCGTGTTTTAGGTAGGCCTTTTCTATTGGTGAACAGCAGTTCTTTGTGACAATAGGTTTCAACCCGTCACACGTCTACCGCAAAAATGAATGTAATCAAGTAAATTCCGGAAGGAAGATTCCTACGTTTGTACACTATATTTCAATTCTGGCCTTACTATAACCACAACCATAGGAAGCAGGACCTAGGGTATTCTATGTGTAATCGTGGAGGATAATCGAAAAAGTGCTCTTTGAGCTATCTTGACTGACACCTGACATTGTTCTGATATCAAATGAGTAATGGAGGATTTAATTCACTTTCGAAGGTGCTTCCTAGCTTTTCAGTTCACGCTTCATTTGATGTAAACAAGACGAATTAACCTTTGGAATTAAATCCAATCTTCCATTACTCACTTGAACTCAGTAGTCAGGTTGTGAAAGTTTTCAATCAAGCCACAACCCGGATGCTAGTGCTGAGATGAGCAGGGTCTGTGACCCGCAACATACTTTCAAAGATGGGTTGTGCTATACCGTGTAAATGGAGAACAAAAAGCTGTCTAATCAGCTGCCCGGTGGTCGAGTGGGTAACATGCTTGCGTTCTGCTCACGAGATCTCGGATTCAAACCCCATTTGGGTCGATGGATTCGCACTGCTGATAAGACCCAACCAGGTAGAAACAGCTGTCCAGTGCTTCCTAGTTTTTCAGTTCACGCTTCATTTGCTATAAACATGACGAATTAACCTTTGAAATTGCTCCGATAGTTTGAATTCATGTGATTTGATGGCGCCCAGGTCCTTTATATCCCTCTCCTCTGATGTCAACCTCCTTCTAATTACCCATTTCACGCTCTGCGCAGAAGAGCTGGCATTTGGATAGATTCAGAGGTAGATCCTACTTTCCGGATCACTTGAAACCTGCTTGTTAGTCCTGGTGCACATTTGTTCCCGCTAACCTGACGATGTTTGCGAACATAAAACAGTTGAGTTCCAGTGGTAATTCAGTGACAAACATTGGAAACAGTAGTGGGCCTAACACTGATCACTGAGACACACTGTATTCGTTGGAATTAGGATGGAATTAGAATGGAATTATCAAAACTAGACAGTCCCACGATACCCTGTCATCTTGAAAATCAACAGAACGTTCTGGGTAAGGCGCAAAAGGATTTTGCTAAAATAGTCATTTTTTATTGAGGTAATATTCTGTAACGAGCAATGGTTTTCGAGTGATGAAACATGAAGTTCTGTCGTGTTCGAGTGGCATAAACCATGAGTACCACAAGCGGTAGTTCACATGCACCCCAGCTATACTATCGCATTTCCTCGGGCAGTATTCCTCTGAGACCCTGCCCCTCTTAGGTACGTCATTGTTAGTTAGTCAAAAAGAAAGCAAGTGTTACCTTCATTACTTACATTTCTATCATTTGTTTTTTCAAATAGAAGATGATTTGATTACAATTATGCATGATAATGGCCTTGTACGAAGAAACTGCTATCCGTTTACGGTTTAGTAAAGAACATAAAGTGAAAAGGAAGTCCCGACATTTAGTCAAGACTTGACAGAAGTACTAATCTTCACCCTCTGAGCATAAGCAGACCCCAATTTCTCTTTTTAAGAGAATACAATATACTGTGGTGCTAACAGGTGATAATAGTAGAAAAGATTAGTGTATCATATGCTGAATAAGTGTCACTCTATTGACTCAAATTTTTCACCGTTCGATCCTACTTCAGACTCTCATCTGACCGCCTACATGGAACGACTAATCAAGGGAGCTCTTGCGTTCACCAGGGGCGGACAACGGGAGTTTATCAAACATGTCAATGCGGGCTATACCGTGAGTGGAACTTGAAACAACCCTATTCAACCTGTTTTCTTTCTTTCATTTCATATAGCCGGCAGGTGTGCTTCTTTCGTGTGTTGATGCCCGTGTCTTTCCCTCGAAGATTTTGGGTGCTCAACCGGGTGAATTGCTCATATTGCGAAACGCCGGTAACTTCGCGCCCGAGCATGGCGAAGGTGGTTCGAACACGGTGCTGAGCACGCTGGAGTTAGGTTGCTTGCATGGGAAAGTAAAGGACGTGGTGATATGTGGTCACTCTGATTGCAAGGTATGGGTTTTATTCTGTGTTGTTCATTAATTGATTGACTGATCGATATTTTCTTTTCGGTCAACTTTGGTGTTAATTGGCTATGAAAAGAAGAAATATTCTTCCATCGCTTTTTACAAAATCCAATGTAGTTTGGCTTAGTTTCAGTTTAAACCCATTAATTCCTTTGAATTAAAGACCAAACTATTCTGTTTTGTAAGGCACTAATAAACGATATAGGTTAAAGCGATTCAGTTGAAATGCAAATTAAAATGAATTCGTCACGGTTCATTAATATAACTGTGATCTCGGTAATTTTCTCACTAAACATTCCCTTTCTATTTCTGATTATTTTAATACTTTTCGAAGAATTTCCAGCTTTACAAGTAATTTTAAGGAGCATGGAGCTTCATAGTCAGGTATAAAACATACGATTGTGGGAACTTTAGTCCTACTTGGTCGCAGAAAATATGCAGCTTGAAACTAAAGAGTTTCATCAGGGATTATTTAGCATTCATGCAAAGGTACGACCCAACAACCAGGGTCTACTTTCATCCGGTTACAACGTCGTAACTCCAGATCTCCTAAGGCGGGGACACAATGTTACCATCATCAAAGGATATCAGCAATTTATTGGCTCACTTGTCCGTCCGAACACCATAAACAACCCTGATCAAACTCCGACTGTGCTTGTTTTGCCGACTCAATTGTGAAATTGATAATTGGTAGTTAAATATCGCGGTAATGATGCAATGGGCCAAGTGAATGTGTTCCCTGTTTTTTAAATATCAGTGTATGGTTTGTAATCGCACTGAAACTAACTTTGGTTTTTTATACTTCACTTGGTGCTACGCATTGAATGGAACGATATTAAGACTGAAGAAGCATGCAAAGGGTCTACAATGGGAAGAGAAAGGGTTCAAATATTGTGGGCAAAGGTAGAATCTCCAGGAGAAATACAGAAGTGCATTGATACGACACCTGACACCAAAGGCACTTACTCCTTCCATTTTTGAAATCACGTTGTCAAAACGAGAAACCCTTGATGTGATTTTCAAACTGCCGCCTGCCAGCTAGAAAGTAATCTGGTTTCAGTGAAGAGCACTATGAACCTAGCACGAGTCCGCTATTTAATCATTTGGGATTTATCCGGATGATACGAACCTCTATAAAACCTTCGATTACGAAACCCACTTACTGTCACGGAAATCTGGAGTTTCAGATTGGCAAACCTCGATTTTGTATAGTAACAGAAAGGTATTTCTTCAAGAATGATCTCTTAGTGTTCTCCACTCACCGGTTATTGCCATCCATCCATCGGACCATCCCATATGAGTGAACGTTTGGTTTAACATCATCAGGTCATTTGAAGTGTCTTTATAATTGACAATATCCCCACTGGTTTCTCAACACAACCAGCTGCAAACACCAAAGAAGATATTTGGGAAAAGAGGTTTGATGAAGGTATTNTCGAGTTCCCCGTCAAATTGGGTCTACAAGGGCATCATGGTAAAAACTAACAAAGTTTAGCACCACTTTACTGCTGCGGTTCAATAAATTGGCATGATAAATCAAATTTGGGATATTTGTTCCTGGCAAACCTCGTCATGAGTTCCCGGTCGAAGTATTTAGGAATCTCATTCATTACATCTGGATGATATGATGTTAATAAGGTCTGTTTCTCGCATTGTTCAATTCCTTAAACTTGATCTTCTCCAGCCTATGCGAGATGGAAGAGTTGTCCAAACGCTTGGCTGTAATTAACCCAAATACTTGACTGGAATGATGAAAGGATACTGTCGTGAGATACTGCTCAATTGTGAGTAATGATTGATTTCAACGATCAAAAATGAACAAGATCACTGAGGGCAATTTGCTAGGTCTCAAAGAATAACTATTGATTACTATATTCATTACCTGTCGTGTGAACAGGAACGGCGATGGCATATTTCTAATTAGGTTTTTGTTATGCGTGAAAAATTACTGACCTCCCATTTGTATTCGTCAATAAATGACTATCCTCGACCGCCTTCTGGAATTTTAACAGACGCAATTGACTGGCTCCCAAAAACTATACTTGCGGTAATGCTCAATGGTTTTAGATGGCCATCGTATCGATCCTGAAGTTGATTGCCTAAATACCCTGGCCAAAACCCCACCCAAACGGTCTCCGTGACATTAGCTGTAAGTTTCAAAGAAAAAGAGTAAAGTATACGAGCAGATCACTTCGAATTACATTACGTGGGCGGTGAGCTCAGTGAGGTTGTGAAACGTGCAGTGTGCTGCGCGCACCGTGCATTGACTGTGCTGGCCACAGAAGTGAACCAACGCCTTGATGCAAACCACACCAATTCGTCTAATCACTGTGCGTCTTATAATCGAGGCATTTGTGATTGACTGATCAATAGTTCAGAATGAGCGGGTCATACAGATGAAATAGTCAGCAGCCTCGCTTGTGTGAATCAAGCCCATGTGATCGCCCAGCGTGCTATCCATTTTCCCTTGTGATTGTCTGGCACAGAACAAGTTTGGTAGTCAAGATTGTGTTACCATGCGAAACCGCCAGTGTAATTCAGCCCCATGTTAAAATGGTTTCAACTGAATTGAATTATAAGAACTTCTTTTTGTGGTAATGTTTAACAAGGCAACATATAAAATCTCCAGAACAGGGGTTTAACTAATCGCCGTAGATGGAAGTGCCTTGGACATGCGATTCCCACGTGTTACGTACACCCTAAGTGGGATAGTCAAATGCACTTATGTTGATTTGTTTGGGGGTGGCTGGCGGGGTTCCATTAAAATGACAGGTTTGATCCCAATTTTTCAAGTATTTCATCCGTTGGTTCGTGCTTTTCTCAAGGTAGCAGTCGTGTGAAAACTTGGGAGCGAAAGATACAGTGTGCATGAAAAAAGACTCCAATTTTTTGATTCAGTTATGACCAGAAAAGAAGATTATCAAGGTTGTTTTCATCCAGTGATCCCTAAAGCTACAATCACTCAGAACAAGAGAAAGTGAATAAACTACTTTAAAAATATCATCCATGAATACATCGAAAATTCGGTACAAAAATATGGGGACAGTACACTGTGAATATAAATTCTTTTACCTCAATATGATATAATCCCTCTTTTGTCATCAAAATTTTGATACAAATTTTCTGCGTGCTTTCGATCAACGTTTTACAAACTACCTTGCCAATAACCCCACCTCTGTCTTCGCGATGATCCGGTAATTTCAGTTTACTCACCTGACTGGCAAACCTCGTAGTCAGGATCGGGCTGCAAGCCAATCACCCCTAACAGTGAATTCCACGAAACGTTGACCATTCCTGTAGGAGATATGGCGTACATGATGGGGCTCTGTTGTATTCAGATGTTTTAAATCCATTTATTTGCACTGAGCTGCGAAGAAATGTGTATCCTTTTGGGCCGTTGCATGGTGCTTACCGACACACACTTCCAGCTGACGTAATTCGGCAGCAAGAAGAATGCACCCCAGACAATAAATGATGATGCAGCTTTATGTTTCTAATTTAAAACGCTTTTTACTTTCATCTATCAAGCCAAATAAGATAAAAATGTATCTGCCCCGTTCAGCTCGAGCATTGAGGTTGGATGTAGTTCTGTCGTCCGGATGAATTTTAATCCGATATTTTCCATGCTAAATTTGATGCGGATTTGAACAAACTGCCAGTTTTGTCTTCCTATGAAAAAGTTTTTTTAAAGTAATCACTGTACACTGATCTGGCATTGAGAATTGAGTTTGATACTGGCTGGATAATTGAAAGCTTTATTGTGTTGCTCAATCCATATTACACTCGCTAGAATGTTTGATGATTAGTTGAGGAGGTGTAGTCATTGTTTAAGTATTCTCATAAATGTGGCAACATAGTTTTCCAATACGCAACTACATGAATTTCATAGCATTCCCTTTCTCCACCGGTGCCGAAATAACACCTAGACCCCCCGTGAAAACATTAACAGTGATGAGTTAATTGATCTTGTCCAGCGGTACTGGATGTGAAGAACTCGCATTCCTGTTATTAATTAGGCACAAAGGAGACAGCCGATTACAGATGCTCACCTGTTTGACCTCTTGAATCACGACAAGACGCCAGAAAGCAGGGTGGATCGCAGAAACATCAATTTTTAGTCATAACCAAACTGTCTTTATAACTTATTCGCATCTAATTTACACCTGTTTGTCAATAAAAATTTAGACGTTCAATGACATGCTAGGCTTTCCTTTTTGGGAGAGTGAGTGTCGTAGTATGATGCGAATTGGTGAATTTTCTATTCAAAAATTTCAATAGATGAGATTGGCTGTCCTAATAACTGCGGTGCACACCACCGAGTTGAACATCTCTAACAAATTCTTATTTATCCCACTTTATCCATTGGCGCGTGTCGTACACGACACCGAAAAGAGACAGTTTCCTTCTCTTGATTGTCTTTCTAATTATTCTATTTCCCCTGCAGAACAGCAAAACAATGAAATCATACATACTGATTTTTCTCATTCTTCAAAACGAAGTCGCACTGGTTTCGGTTTTTGCTCCTCAAAGTAATGGTCCTCTATCTTTCTGGTGTCATTGTCTGGGTGTGAAGCACTGTTGTATTGTTTAATCTCATGGTAGTAATCTGATACCAAAGGACAAGTCATTATATGATTTGATGTTGCGAGCTAATTGATCAACCGAAAGCGTTCGGGTAGTTCAAACGAAATCGAATGGTCATTCCGCACTGTTTTCCCACGTTGATTACTGCTCAGGTTATGGTAAATTGATACTACTTCCTACTTCCCGTGTTGCTAACTCATGAAATGAAATTAAAAGTTGATGCAGGCAAAATAAACCATATAACAAATGAAGTTATTGATGTTGCTTGAGCAATAATTTAGTAATAATACCATTATTATTACTATTTTCTTATAGTCATCAGTATCAGTGCTACATGAGATCATTTTCATGCCTCCATATGTGTACGTTTGGGAAAGAAACGAAAAATTTCATTCCTCAATCTAATTTATTTGTAAAAATGTAAATTGACTCTGTTTCTCCCCATCCAGTAGAGTTTTAGCAACTACGGGGCAAAGTGCACTTGTATTTTCGGATTGTTCTTTATTAACTAAGATATAAATCACCGCAGTACTGGTCAAGTGTAATGGATAGCTGTCTGGATGTTTCGGTTGATGTGCGTTTCCCTACCACCACCCAACCCTTTCAGCAGTGTTTTTTGGCAAGGTAGTCTTTAAATTAACCACAAAGACTGTCTACTGAAAAGTTTCAAGCGCAATTCTTTATTCAGTCATGAGTGGTCAACGATTAGTATCAGATGTTTCAAGTATGAGTTAGTCTCAGAGTTGTCATGAAAGTCCATTCATTGGAAAGTTCACATCAAAAGAGTTTTTAGTAAGGACCTTTGATAGGAAGGTCCGGCCAACACAATTCGAAAGAACATAAATATCGTAGACATTAGTCTTCATAACCTTACTCCCGTTGGTATTTGTATTTATCATAGAGCCTATTCTTCTCTGTCTTAACATTGGTATCGAGTCATAAGCCCCGGTTTAGTTGAAATTTTCTTACCAGAGGCACAAGCACAATTTACAGACAGTCATCACTTCTAAAGTTAATGTCATGAGCTCATGTTATTCAAGGCAGATAATATTAACATGAATAATATGACTGTAATTCAAGTGATTTGAGCACAGGATGGGTTTTCCCTCCCTTTTTGTTATTGCCGTGTCGCTTAGGCGGGGGGAGGTACAACAAGTCCAGTCTTGTCGGAACTTTTCAAGTGACGCGATTTTCTGACCGCGCATGGCGAATGCAGTGTATGTGTGTATGATTTGTAATCGGCAAAAGGGATGTGTTTTAACACGTTTTGGCTGATTTTAGTCAAACAGTTCACTGCCCAATGATAGCCTGCATTAGGATAGGCTGTTGTGTATCGGCTTTCATTTTCAAAACCACCTTCTGGATTACGCGGAGATAGATCTATTCCGTGATCCATAAAGTTCGACAAATCTATCTGTGTGAGTGCTGGTTCCTCGATCTCGTGTAGGATGAAGTTTGCCTTCGCATTTCCAGATGAGAGACAATAATAGGACATAATATGATAACAACCATAATAACAAAGCTTAGGACCTTCGGGATTAAGCTACAGAAGGTGGGTGTATGAGTAGACTGTGAACCTGTAGCCGGATGAGGCAAATGAGCATGAGTGGGAGAAAAGGCATTGGTATTCTGCACATTCAGTTTCATGAGTTGAGCCGGAAATTTTATGTCGGATATCAAGTACGTTGAGCTTGTATAGTGTAAATTCCACCCGACGAGCGAAAGAAAGTTTCAGAAAACTGAACAAATGTGATTAAAACGCCTACGTTTGTATAAAGCCTTGGGACCAAGCGTAAGAAACAATGTGTCGCCTACCAGCGCATCTGCTTTTCTAAGTTTCAGTTTGTAGGAACAATAATCATACATGGATTTTGTTGATATTCTTTTGGATTTTCATTGGTTTGACCAAAAAGAAATAAAACTGAATGAAAGCGGTAAGTTATATGGACATGGAAACTGAAGAGATACACAAGTATCACTCTTCATTCTCATCCTGTCACATTATCCAAGTTTAGTACCAAAGATCCCAAGTGGGACACCAAATGTGACCAGCTACCCAAGCCCTTGGCCAAACCTTTCGTGCTTCCGTGCCCGACCTTTGAATATTATTCACCCACTAACTCCCTAGGTAAATCTCACAAGTTTCAATTTGTGAGAATCAAACACTGTTTGTTCAATGTAAGCCCTTTGATTGGCCGCTTCCCCCTTCCTGAAAATTGTATCTTTGTATCATTCAATAAAAGGAAATAAAAATGAAAAAGAAAAAAGAAAAAAATTCACATTATCACACACCCGTGACTATCTTCCGATTTTTCGCCTCATTCCAGCCTTCCTTCAGCGGTCATCCAGAAGTTACCAAGTACGACTCATCTTTGTTTTGCGTGATTTTGTTACTGTTGGTAAGGGTTCGAGTTTATTGATTGTCTACGGACAGACAGATTTTCTCATTGATCTTATGTGTGCACTTTGACAGTTCCCTTTGCAAGCGTATATGTAATGATAGTACGGCTTTTATCAGTCTCCGAGTTTGAGTAGTCAATGTGAAGTTTGAAGACCAGTAACGGAATCGCTTCGCAAACAACCGAACAAAATGGGTTCCATCTGTAGCGTCTTATTTACTGTTCGCATTGTGTAGTATTAACTGGTCAACTACGGAAACACGTTTCACCAGTTCGTTTCTAGTACTGATTTTCATTTCCCCGATACTTTAACTTGGCTTGTTACGACTTACTTCTCAGTGCTTGCACTGAATGCCCCCAGGTTTGCGAGATTTACAGCTTGTACGCAATTACTTTTCATGTGACCAGCAATGCATTTGTTTCTCGAACATTCTGAGTCACATGGATATTTGTCCCTAAGCTAGTATAACAACACTAACGGGCATTTCCCAACCCCAAAACAAATTCATCTGTGGTTTGCTGGAAATTTTCTGGGTTCTTTTTGTGTCACAACCAAAAACAAACCGGTTCCGAACAAAAAATAACCATGAACATACAAAGAGGAACAGAAGAAATGTATTTCAGAGTATAGAATCCAATCTTCGTGCAACCATGTATACAGTATAAATGTATGGAATCCATGTTCCTAACTGGGTTGAGCGATTAGAGAAAAACATCTTGCAAGGAGCAGAAAAACGGTGTTTCTGTTGTAGTAGATATCAAAACGCTTCTCAGCATTGGTTTTCAATGATAATGAGACCGTTACAGTCACTCACCAGCTGTAACGTTTGTTCGATATACAGTGTAGGCGATGTGGGCTATGACTACCGCATTATCAAATGTTTCTTCGAATGGATTTAATCTATTTATGACTTAAGGGTACATTGATATACCAAGTCAGCTTGTCCATTCTCCTTCATGAACTTTGCATTGGAACTAAACGGTGTGGTGTCCTTCGGATTCCACTAGGCTATTCTCAATGCTGTTCGAACTGAATCCATTCGAATACTGAACAGTAAAGTCGTGCACGTGTATGCTTAAACAGCAATTTCAGTGCGCTTTCTGAGTGCGCATAAGCAACGATCAGAAGTACTTAGATCCACACGCACGCACGCACGTGCGCCGGTCTCGTGACCGAGCGCTCAGCTCACAGCTCATGCAACCATACATCTTGCACTTTCGCACGGTGGTTTTGGTTACCGTTTTTCAGCAGAGGGAAGAATCAGAAAACTGAAAGTCGTAACAGAATGAAGATAAAGAATAGAATACGACCGAAGTTACCACTAAACTTATCAGATGCACGACGGCCATTGTCTAAGCCCCTAAGCCATACCATTGAAAATCTGTTAGCATCCGTTCGACTGATCTCGAGGCCCTGACCAGCAAGCCTATCACGATATATATATATCCGATACCCCTGATCGAGGCTTTCATACACTCATACCAGGTCGTAGTGGCCAAATGCACTATCATATAGATCAATAACTGCGGTAGCATTATCACTGCCGAGCATAGATAGATAGGCGAATGATTTTCAGTTACAACTAGTGCTAGTCCTTAATTCGAAGTGTGGCAATCTCAGACCAAAACGTTCACTTGTTCTCCTATTTCCTGAGACTAATGCAACGTAATTAATTGTACTTGTCACGATTATTTTTGACGATAAACAATGTTCATGTTCAATTTGGGACCGCTATTCAACAATCAAACTACTCACCTTATTTCTTCTTCTCGTTTTAAACTGGGGAACTAATAAAAGGCTTCATTTATTTTTGGATAAGTTTATGCATATTTTTTCTAACTTTGTATTTCACAAAATGCTGATTGGGGTGATCATATAGGTTTGGATGAAACGGGAAGAGTGTGACTACTTTTTCACTAACCTGTCCCTCAATTACGCTGGGAGGGATGTGCTACCTGCACATTCTACTTGTGCACAGATTACATTTCATCGCTTTTGTGTCACCAATCTAGAACAGACATACACATTCTCATATAGTTTACAGTTTCAGAATAGTTTTCGTGTTGATATGAAGTTGATTGACTCGTACACCTGTGATCTGTTTGGTAATTCCTGCCCGAAAACGACTAGTCCAATTCACCGACCTACACGGATATGTGCTGGTTTATTTGTGAAATAACTTCCTATCCTGTCACATGTGCCCGTATTTTGTGCTCTCACTGGCCCCCCGCACCCCCCCCCCTCGCGTCCCGTCCGCTGACCCTCTTCCCTGGATTTCATCATTAAGGCAATGCACTTGCTCTGCAGTATTGGCTCGAAAGTCACCGATGGTCAACTGGTCGAGAAACAGATGAGTCCATTACAGAAGTGGGTCGCCGGTCAAGGCATAAAATGTTGGAAAAAGTGGCAAAGCAAAACCAATGCAGTACGATTTCCGGCTTTCAAAGAGGAACAGCTCATACTGAACATGCGTTCGGATTTGATTAAAAATCTCGAACCAGTAGACATAATTTCCCAGGTAAGAATGTTCCACACTTGCTTTGTTTCTCAGTGTTTCGCTCTAGTCCACGTTGTAGTTATCACTTCCTCAACAGCACATTGACCATATACTTTTATGAATAGTTCACAATGTGTACAAAGCATGATTTTCCTGGTCACATTTTGTTCGTACTTCAAACGATAAGTTAAACCACTGTTTCTGTCCTCCATTTCAGTATGCACAGGAATTCGAAGCTTTTCTTCAATATAACGCGAGACTACTGACTAAGAAAATAGATGATCGATACGGGATGGAAAATAATTAAGCTTCAGGGTGTTTCAGTTGCGGACACGGTGAATTGCACAGAATACTGGTTCGTCCAAAGAGTCGGTCAAATTCCGAGAGTTTCTCTATCGAGACTCAAAGCCCATCGTAGATTGCCAAAATGTGCTCAACGCATTTCTCGTAATAATATTTTAATTATGATTTGTGTTTGGTCATACATGAACAAAATAAAGTAGTCTATTTAGTGGATCAGTTATCAGACACACATCTGTTCCATCTGTGAGCCCCCAACCCGGGGTCGAATCGACCGATTACATTTCATTACTGTTGCGCTGACATTATGCCTGATCCGAAGTCTGTGCTACATACAGGTGTAGCAATATCTTCAAGACCCTAATATAGGCAAATTTTAATAATATGTAGATAACCCCGTTTTGAACTACTGTATAAACGGTAAATAATACAAATTTACAGATCTTCATTGATAGCATGAAACCGGCTATGACCAAAGAAATGTTTCGACTTGGTTCCTTGGAGTCTCGGAGATACTAATGCACACATAGTTACGTTTACGCCGAGTGACATGATTGTGAAGAATTATCTCAACATTCCTTCATTCAAGTTATTCAGCCTCTTGTGGCACAGGAATTTGGTGTCCGAATGTTAGCGATCGATCCGGTGAGCTCATCAAACGCCGGGATTCCGATCTGAAGTTTACAATCGGTGCTGAGATGAAGTATTCAGTATATATATATTGTTGTTGTTCCAAATAACGGTTTATGAACCCAAAAAGAACTTTGGGGTACGTACATCTGGAAATACATTCATCGAAAGCGGGTGTGATTACTATCAATATTGAAAATACTATCGGAACATCTGGAATGAACGTCACTTGTACATTTTGTTTACACTTAGGGGTATACAAATACAATAGTAATATTCTATTAATTGGTAAATCAAACCCGTTTCCCTGTTTGATGTTATTCTCCTGCGTAAATTCGAAAGAGCTTCATCACGTCATGATAGTCACTTACACAGATCTCATCAAAAAGTTCAACGGGTTTTCAGATGTTCCAGTTGTATCAATTCAATCCATTTGATAAACATTATGCACAGCTTACAGTTTTGAGCGTGGGTATCTCCTTATGGATTTTTCCCTTTTGACATGTTCTAAATCATTTAATTTGGCACAAAGTTCTTTTGATCGTGGTCTACACGAGGAGTACTGCACTTCTGTTTGACGTTTTTGGGGGCCTCGACAACTATGCGTATTTTTGTGTCCAGTAACTTGTAGAGCCAAAAGCTTTTGGGTTGAAGCGTTGGCAGAGATCTAAAAAGTATGCATTTTTGATGAGTCCCGACACGGATGAAACAACTGCGCAGTGAGTGGTATCTGTTGGCCACCACATAAATTAATTCTTTTACAAATAGAGTAGCCCGATTATGAGAACTTTCAGGTGGGGAACACATCAGCATTTATCCGTTCGAAGCAATAAACCTTTTGAAACACAGGTGACACGTCTGAGTAGTTGTGATAAAGACAAATGAAAAAAGTTTACCCCAAAGCAAACTAACTTATCGTTACCACCACTTCCCATCCAGTCCGCTTCCATTTATCCTCCTCTTGTTCTACCTGGAAGGATTAACTAGTCAGTCAATATCCTTACGTGTACCTTTACCCGACTGGTTGGATTTAATCTTTACACCTGTGCTAAATTGAGCTAGTGCTCCGACCACCAGAATCCATATAAACAGACATAGTGCCTAATTGGCGTAGCTCTTTTAAGTGACACAAAATGCCGTTAATTGCAATGACACAATTTGTATGAATTTTTCTGCGAACATCCACGTAAAAGCACGTCATCTATCATTTACGTGCTAGACGTCAAACACACTGGAACACTCATCGCGGTGCAGCAACTCAACTGCGATCGCTTTGATGTAGAGCTGAGTTTAGGCTGGTGCTTCAAACTTCGATCAGCACAACTTTACTTGATAAACTAGCTATGATCGATCACACCAGATCTTAGTTTGACTTGACTTTACTTCATCGTCACTCATCATTTCAGCTGGTACAGTATGGGAATAAGGGAACATTCCCAAGATCATTTTATGAATCCTGTATCCCTGTCTGCATCTGTCTGTCTGTCTGTCTGTCTGTCTGTCTGTCTGTCTGTCTGTCTGTCTGTCTGTCTGTCTGTCTGTCTGTCTGTCTGTCTGTC